GAAGTCCATTACTGCCCACAACCCTAAGGCTGAATGGTATGAACAAAATACCGATGAAATTTGGGACGGACTTTGCTATTGTGTTCAGGTATTGACCAACAATATAATCTCGCTTTTGTTTTATAAGTTATTTTTAATTAAATTTTACAAATTAGTTCATTTAGGATCTAATTTAGTTAACTTATAGCTAATTTTATAGCTTAATGTAGTTGCCATGTTGAGTAAATTTTTAAATTATCTAAATTAAGTGAGATTTTAATAGTTAAAATATAAATAAATTAATTCAAATTAATATATTGTTTATTTAATTTAGGAGTGTTTGAAGACATCAAAAGTGAATATTGAAGACATCTCTGGCATATCCTTCTCTGCCACCTGTTCTCTGGTTATAATCGATAATAAGTATAACTCAACTATACAAATATTAGTAAAAAGTAAACTGGTATAATTAAATTATGTCTTAATATACTGCACAGAAAGAAAGGCAATGATGTGGTGATGTGGATGGACCACAGGGCCATTCATGAAGCCAGTCTTATAACCAAAACTAAAGTATATTTATTAACACTTTAATTAATTAATTTTTTATTCACATTTATGTATATCTTATGATATGATTGTCGCAAAGAATGAAGTTCTGCAGCAAATGGGTGGCAATGCTTCTCCAGAATATTCTTTGTCTAAACTCTTGTGGTTAAAACGTAATGACAAACAACGGTTTGATGAGGCGATAGGGTTTATGGAGCTGCCGGACTGGTTGGCCTGGAAGTGCTCTAATCTCGAGGCTAAAGACTATCCCCGATCGGTGTGTAGTGTTGTCTGTAAGTGGGGTTACGATGCGGTCAATAAGCGCTGGAATGACGGCTTCCTCGATGTCATCGGACTCCAGGAGTTCGTTAAAGACAAGTCCAGAATTGGAGGTTTGAATTATAATCTCATATTTCTGAAAGTTTTCAACAAATTTACAGATATATTGAATCACTCTAAAGGTCTTCAGTGGAAGTTTATTTATGTTTATAAACTGATAAATATTTTCCTATTTATGTTAAGGATTTTTCAATCAATTATTTATAGCAATGAATTGCAGAAACAGTGACCTATTTATTGGGTTTTCAATTAAGTTTTCAATTTTGTTTTGTCCATCGCTTTATATAATTATTAGTGTAATTATTTTTTAGTAATTACTAAATTAATTAGCATTTTATAATTTAAAACATTTTATTTTTTATTTAAAACTAATTAACAAATTTAAAGTTTCTTAATATATTAACACTATTAAATTGTATGGCCAACAATAACAAAATATAAATGAATAATCCAATTATTAGTCAACACTTTAATCAATTATTAAATCTCTTTAGCCCTGAAGATGCTCTCAATTAATACCAAAACCATTGCCTATTATTTAACTTGATTTCAAAACATTTTCACTGATAATAAAACAAGTAATTGAAACAAACCACCGATTAATTAACAGAAAAGATAGTACTTCCGGGAACACACATCGGTTTTATGAGCAAATCAGTGGCCAAACAGTTTGGACTGATTACCGGTGCGGATGGCGCGAGGGATGGGGAGTGCACTGACATATCGATCGGGAGTCCCCTAATCGACGCCCACGCGGGTGTCCTATCAATGCTGATGTTCTCCCACGATCTCAAGGATGTGGAAGAGGGGCACTTGGANCATTTAATTCAATCAACTATTGGCTATTGATTAACAACTTTAACTCATTTCTACTTAATTACTGTCCATTTAATAAATACTGTCTCTGTTTGCAAATCTAATTCATTGCACCCATTGTTAACTAAATAATGAGTAATTTTTGTTTGTTCAAAGAACATGGCTTATTAATTGTTACCAAATTACTGTTTGTCTATAATTGAGTTTATTATATAAAAGATTGTGGTTTTCATGCTTTTATATCTCTCTGTCATTCATTTATACTTTATTTGGTGTACTTTTTTATGGGTTTGTGTCAAACAATTTATTTTTATTTCCTTTTGATATTAACTCGAAATAAATGAACACTTTATATGCATCTAATTATCTAAAGCTAACTCCAATACAGTGCAAGACATTCGTAATGCAAATATAACTGCATTTTATCACATGTCGATTAACTGTCAAAAGTAAAAGTCAAACCAAAACTTGATTAGTGTTTGCAAAACTGGGTTTGAATCCCATGTATGAGATGTGACTATCATTTATGAAACGGAGATTAATTTGTCTTAAAGATCATTAAACGAAATGACTGACATTGGGAACGGTAGTTCATACCAGAATGTGGCGACTCTTTAGTTAACGGTTTGGTATTAATAGTAGGAAAGTGGTGTTGTCTCACAACTCACCATTGAATTGTACATTTCTTAATTCTCCTTATATAAACCATACACTAATTTTATGTATATTTTTTTAAGTCAATGTAAGATAAGTTAAAGTCATTTGTTATATTATGACGGCTTTTGTAATTAGTACTCAATCCTATGGCACTAACCCATGGATTCTGTTTCACTATATTTTCAGAGTTTTACAGATTATGGTTTAATTCTAACTTTAATAATATCTCATAATCACTAATAAAAACTTTAATGAGATTATCGTTAGGTATAAATTTTAAACAAAATGTTTTTAAAAATCCCTCACTTAATTTAAATGATACAAAAATTATAAAACAATTAATTAATTATACAAATTATAATTGGTTTAAATTTAATTTAATATTTATATATTTACTTACTTATAAATATTTTTAAGTATATTTAAAATAATTTTTAATATTGTACTTTTTTCATTTCATGTAAAATTATATTAAACTTTAAAAATTATATTATTCTTGAATGAAAATGTGTAATTAGGTAACATTTAACATATTGTACAGAATATACAACTAAACTATACATATATCCAAACCATAATAGATAATAATCCAGTTATTATATTATTTGCATGAAATTTCGCAATATTCAACAAAATATTGAATCTTAAGTAACTTACAATTGTTTTATTTCCTGAATTGATGGTCTCTTTAAGAGACAAAAGTATCTCAGAAATGAATTGAGAATTTTGAGTATTTGTTGGTTTTGTCACAAGTAGTGCTGTTATGTTGTAGTATATTAACGTTAATAAATAAAATACAATTTATATATCGCAAGAAATCCTTTAATCTGATTTTATTTCAAAAATACATTTAAGAGAATATTATTTTGAAAGCTTTGTCACAAAATTCACTGAATCTTAAAATAAGTATTAAAAATCGTAACCAAAAAACAATAGAGAATTTAATCTCTTTTGATCCTTACATACACTTAAAGTAAACTGAAAATTAATTATATATTCAATTAGTTCGTGACTTTAATAAAAATGTTTGATTTATTAGATTTTTAATTGAATCTAATTTACAAACTCATGGAATGTAAATAAAATGCAAATTAAAAATTAGTTTTAGTGAATAAAATCGATTCAGTATTACGAGAAGTAAAATGTGCTTCAATTATGAGAAACTCATAGTATTTGACATTTGCATACAGTTTTAGACATTTGCGTGATTGTTTGATTTAATCAAAAAATACCAAATTGTATATTTATAATTTTTTCAATTAATTCAATTTTGTTAGTATATATTCTGACATATTTTTAAATTGTGTTTCTAATACAATATATTATTCTCTATTACGAGTACATTTCAATCAATATTTTTAGTCAAAATTCTTGTTTTATAAATAATAACAAAATACATAAAAATCCGTGGATAAGCATATAAAATATTTATTTGTATTATAAAATTTAATTTAAAATAACTGATACTTTTGATATAAAATTATTACTAAACATATACTGTAGTAAAATGAGAAAGCAAAATAAAAATATCACTTATTTATATGAATTCCTTTCATTATATCCTCTATTCTGGTCGCGCTCTCCAACATCTCTCTAAAGCACTTGTATTTGAGTTCGTGATAACTATTTAACAAATATTGTCATAAAAACAAACAATTTATTATAATATAATACACTATAGGAAAGAGAGACTTACTTTCGCAGCTCTTTAGTCGGTGTATAACGTTTTCCCTTTAGATTTGGATAACCAATAATTTTTGTGCTTAAACTTTGTTTAGCCATCGAGTGATAGGCGAGGATACCAGCGCCCACAAGCATTAGATCTGCATCACCCATGGCATAGGTTATGACCTGTATATTGAGTACATCCGCGTGCACCTGCATATACACCTCATTCTTGGCCAGTCCTCCACTAATAAACACTACTTTCAAATCGGGGATTCTGTTCACAGAATATCATTAATATTATTATTATCGGAAAATAATATTCTTTATAAATAAATCCTTACTTAAGTTCATCAAGAATATACTTTGTCTCGTAAGCCAGTGCCTCGATGGTAGCATGGTAACTGTCCAAAATACTGGTGCCTTCCATTGTCAAGCCGTAGAAACCGCCTTAAAATTTATTAATACTAAATTTTACTATCCATATTATATTTAATATTGTATTGAATGAGTTACTATTAGCATCTACTGTTTCAACGAAAATTACTATAATTACATTTGTACAACACTGTAATTATTAGTTTAAACTTGGTATATAATTAAATTCAATCAATGTCATGTTTCTAAGACATTTGTAACATAATGACTGGTAAATCTTCGCTTGTTATGTATTAATATACTGTACAGTATGCTAACTTATTGTCAAATGATATGAAATCAATTTCATTCAATTATATGAGACCGACGTTAGGAAATACTGAGTAAATATTACCATAACATTAGCCTAATATCCATACCTCTCATGTATGGATTCGCCAATAGTCGGGAGCCGTGAAAGCATGGGTTGACATTCAATCGATTGATAAAAGCCTTTTTCTGTAATATCTGTTCGTTCAGCTCTTTAATGATATCATTCATGGATTTGTCTTTATATTTATCACTGAATTGGGCATTATTTTTGATGACATGCTCGACGAGTATGCCAGTCGTGCTCTGTCCGGCCTCTCGCACGTAATAATTGGGGAAAATCGCGTCGAAATACGGGCCCCAAACGCCTTGCGTGAAAAACCTCTGACGCGTTGATATCATATCGCAAGTGGATGTGCCGGCGATCATACAAAACATGTTTTCGTAGTCCAAGTGCCCCTCTTCCACATCC